GGCATTTAAACAGGATCAAGTTTCTCCTATTTTTTTCGCTATTGTTGCTGTTGTCATAGGGTGAGCACACTCGCCAAAAAGAGACAAAGAGAGACAGTAAAAGATGGTGAGAGGAAAACTTAAGAAATCATCCTCCACAAGGTGGCCAGGCAGCAATCCCTTCTTCTCCACTTACCTCCTAGGAATCTGGCCACACAGGTACACATGCCCCGCATGACTGTCAAGCTGCTGGGTCCTGGACTCAATCCATAGCCATGTGGGAGTCTAACACCTTAACCACCATGTCACCTCCTGGCCCCAATTTTCTCCTGCCTTTTTATCAAATTCACCCTCCAACCCATTTTCTCCTTTACTGATTAATTTCCTCCTTCACTGACCCTATAAAGGAATATTATTTCTATTTTGCAGAAGAGGATACTGAGGTACATAGAAGTTGAGTAACTTGCCCAAGATCACAGAGCCTGGCCAGAGTTTAAGGAAGATAGCCAAAGAATAGTAGCAGAGCTGCCCAGCCAGGGACCGAGGTCAGGGCTGAGCCAGTCCTAGACCTAGCCCCCACCTTACAATTTCACCTTTACACTTTCAGTGCTAGAAGGTAGGCACTTTGTTGCTGTTGTTGTTGTTGTTGTTTTTCTTTCTTTTCCTACCCAAAATCAGTATTCATCACCTCAAAACTTAGCCTTTTTCCTCTCTCATTTCTGAAACTGCCCAGATCCTGCCAACCATAACTTAAAACAATACATACATATAACACTATATATAATATATATATGCATGTATTAATATAAATAGAATTCTCTGAAGAGACATGCTTCAGTCACACCTTGAGATCCGATTTCCTATACAAAAGCAACAATAGGACCATCCAACCATACGGCAGTTAAGCACCATGAATCAGAAGCCAGATCCCACATGGCTGACCATGGTTCAAACCCTGGCCCCAATAACTTGAAAAGCATGCCTGACAAAATGGAGAAAGAGAGGAAAGAGGACTGTGGCATGACCACACCCCATTGGGGATTCTATTTCTCTCCTTCTCTCTCTCTCTCTCTCTCTCTCTTTCTCTCTCCCTCCCTCCCTCCCTCCCTCTGTGTGTGTGTGTGTGTGTGTGTGTGTCTTTCTTTCTAGTGAGTACAAGTGCCCTCTAGCAGTTAGAAATGAAAACAAATGGCAATAGATAACAGTGAGTCTTTACACTATGCCAAGAGCCACCCAAAATACTTAACAAACATTATTTTATTGAACTCCCTTCAACAGTTCTAGGGCAAAAGTACTATTACCACCCCCTTTTTACAGATGGAAACTCAGGTATCATGGTGGCTGGGGAGCTGGACTCCCATGTGGTCAACCGCAGTTCAAGTCCTTGACCCAGTGGTTTGAAACTCATGTCAGGCATGTGTGTTGTGTGTGTGCCCAAGTCCAGAGAGGAGAATGGAAGAGAGAGGACTGCAGCATGGCCATTCCCTCTGGGGATGATTTTTCACTTTCTATCTCTTTTCCTCTCAAAAAAAAATAAATGCTGAAGAACCAACGTCACATAGTAAGTAAAAGAGTCAGCAAAGCTCTTTCTATTAAGTATGATTCCGACTTTTAACATTACAGAGCAGTTTCTCTAGCTCACATGTATCTATCTTCTGGGCTCAAATGGAATAGTAGTCTTACACTGCCTTAGACATTTTTCTCACATTGTCTTGCCCAACCCTCCCTATAATTATGTGTGCCAGATATTAATTGGGCTGTTTTGTATGTTCTGTCTGGCTCCCGCACCCGTATTCCCATGACTAGCACATTCTATGCCTTCAGTCTCAGCCTTTAAGATCACTTCCTAGCCTAGCCCAGCATCACTGGCCATCTACTCCTCTTGGGTCACATATGTCATTGTCACAAGAGAGAACATGGGTAAATTGGTTTGGTTGTCATCTTGTTTGAAACTGCTAATTCCCATCCTCTGGGAGCTGAGAGGTCAGACTATCCCTAACTCCTTGCACTGAATAATATCCAATAAATAGTTCTCTGACTCCATGTATGCAAATGTTAATAAGGATGGACTCTGAGGATTCCTGACACAGGAAGACCACATAAGAATAACCAGTCATAGATCACAGATGCAGTTTGGTTCTGTTTCCAAACCACTGGATCCAAATTTCCAGACACCAAAGGAGCTATATCCAGGTTGAGCACAGCCTTAGAAAAAGACTTAAAATAGCTAACTTCAGAGACCTTCTCTTCCAAGGCAACTTTTATTTATTGTTGATTTAATTATAGTGGTTACAATCCCTGGTTTTTCTGTTTTAATGTAGTTTGCTATTTTGAGGGCTATGAATCAGGTTATATCTCAGATCAAGTGGTTCTTATGATACATATCACCTGGTCACTAAAAAGATTAGCAAATGTGTAGTAAGGTGGCTTGGAGAGAGAGGTACTTCACTGATTAGGGTTTTTCCTATTATGTTTTTGGAAGACTAATGTTTTGTAAGCTGACTGAAAAAATTCATTTTTTAGCTAAAATGCTTATGCATTTACAGGGTGATATGATCTTACAGAGTAAAACAAACCCAGTTCATGACTCAGCTTAATTTAGGAAGTCTCTTAAGAGACTTCATTTCCAAGTCATGAATTGAGAAGAAATATACCACTAAAAATTGGATGAACCTGCGAAGCTACAATAGTGATGGACCAGTGACTGCTAACTCTCGGTAAACTGTTCTCTACAAATAAGATAACTTGTTACAGAAGAAACCTATTGCTTGTTTCTGAGAGGTAGGTGCAATCTATGGTTTTCTCATTTTTTTTCTCAAGGTGATAGTAGGGTCTTCAATTCATAGACGAGTTTGATTTGATCATGTGTTTCCACTGTCAGGTTTTATGAATAATGACCAGACTACACAGCAAAAACAAAAACAAAGTCACTCAGAATATTATAGATGTAGACTTGATCATAAAACTTCTCTTTTTAAATTATATCACTGACTATAAAGGTAATCTATTTCCTCGGTAGAAAACTTAAATGAGACAAGCATTGTTAGTCTTTAGTTAACTTTTTCATATGCTTTTCTAAAGATATATGGCATTTTAGACAACTTATATCATGACATATAAACTACTATATCTTGTGTTTTCCACTCAATTTTATATTGAAAGAATCTATGTTATTAGTTCTTTTTGTAAATAACTATTATGTCTACTTAACATTTCATAATTATAGTTCA